ATATAAAAAATATTTTGCAACACAATATATCCACTAGATTAATTCTGTTAAATAATGGAAAATTTTAAAAAATATCTCTTATATATATGTTTTTATATTATGTATCTGTTTGCTATAAAACAATGAGTTTACTAATTTGTGAAGTATAAATTAAAATACGCCCATCATATGTATGCTCTATAAGAAAAAAGAAAAAACTGTATTGTGCTTAAATCATAAATAATATAACAACACTAAATATATATTGATTATGAAATCCAATATTATAAATAAAATTAATATTTATTATAAATGTAATATTAATTACATAAACATATTACTCTTGTTATATGTTGCAATGCCTTAATATCAGACATTGTCGGAGTTTTCTTCTTTTTATTAGCGATGTGCCAGCAAGACCGATATATAACCGCCCGATGTCTTTAACAACTGAAACACGTATAATATTTATGACAAATATTTAAGACATTTTTTAATAAATAATGATAATTTTATTTCTCTTTTTTTTTGTTTTTTTGACAAGATTTATAATTCAACGATTAAATACTTATCATTTAACTTTTTCAATATTTTTAACGCTATTTATATAATATTAATATGTATATTTATTATAATTGTATTATTCTATAAGTGCTATCTTGTATGAATATAATTTATTTATTATAATTTGAATAAATTTAAAGAGAAAAAGCAAAATAAGAGTATTATAGATTCATTTACATCATGTCGAACAGATTATTAAATTTATAATAATTTTATTTTCAATATTGTGCAATATTTTTTTATATCAATTTTAATTTTAATTAATTTTTAAAGTTGCTTTAGCTTATTTACATTACAAAGTGTAGCCATTGTCATAGGAAACATCTTTCCCGCGGTAAGATACATCGGTTTGTTGGTGCAAATCAATATAATTAGTAAATTTCTCGCTTTTTTCGGCTCCATCATGTACCACTTGAGTTCGCATGCGGCCTCGTAAACTCCCTCGCACTTGACAAACAGAGCGATTATTTGTGATAAAATTGCATGTTAAATCAATCGAAACTCTATATCGGATCTCTATACCAGGAAGTTCTTAATTAGTGTTTCGTATTCTGTAATGTTTTTAATAAGTTAACAATGAGCTGTATCATACTTACTTGCGCGACCAAAATTTCTCCCACGGCGCAATAGAGGCATGTATGTGCAAACATATTAATAAACACTGTCATGATAAAAGTTAAACGTAGTACAGAGACATCGCCACGTTGAGTTATCATCTAAATGGATGAATAAAGATCAATATATATATAACTAATTATTTATTCTATATAGAAAAGATTACTTATTTCACAATTAAACTTAAATTCTTAAATGAAAATATCTCCTTAATAATAAATGTGATATTAATTATATTAATTCTTATTTACGTTTTTATTGCGTTATATTATTATTATTAATTTTATTAATTCTTTAATTTACGTTATATTATTATTGTTCAACAGAGAGGATATATTATTTAGAATGGATTTTGATGTAACTTTTCGAAAAGTCTAAACTGAAATGTTTTGTTCGAAATGTAGACGTTTTAGTTTTTCTCTGAGTTTTTCGAATTTTGAATCATATAGATCAAGCATTCACATTTGTTTTTTTTAAATCGAATAATCGAGACTCGAGTTCTTCTAGATTACATTATTATCAGTCATTATTATCAAAATTTTATTTATAAAACAGATTAATATAATATATTGAAAATAATATTTAAAATTAAAATTATTTGAACTTACATATATATATATATATATATATATATATATATATTAATAATATATTGAAAGAAAATTAAATATTTAAAAGTAAAAATTTATATTTACATTTATTCTTAAATTTTAGAAAATTAATATTAAAAATTTTAAAACAATATATTAAGAATTATTTTCTTAAATATAATGTTTAAAAACATATTTATTAAAAATATGGTTCATTAAATATTGGTAATATTTATTGATAATATTGGTTAAATATTTAAATTTTGGTAAAGCATATGAAGAATCATTGTCTCTCTTTTACTTTCTTTCTTTTCTCTCTTTTTCTCTCTTTATCTATTTTTTCGTTTTCCTCTGAAAAAGCAAAAAATTATACAAATTTTTAGTCAAAGAGGGATACTTACAGAAACTATTAAAAAACCGTGAAAAGCGAATAATATGCCAAAGTAAATGAGTGCCCCAAGTAGCATCAAAGTAAATATATTATCTATGATATTGATCGATCTGTAAAAGAAAATCAATAAAAATAATATTAAAAATTTTAATCATTTTATTATATTATTTTTATGTGACTTGCAAAAAAGAAATTCTATAAAAGAGTTTCTAGAATAGTAAAATTTAAAAAAAGTCTTTATTTTTTAATATTGAGTATTTAAAGAAACGATTTATTCGTTTAATAATTGTTTCTGTTTATCATAAATTAGCTCTATATAAATTTTCTAATTTTGTGACAAAAAAATTAGCAATATATTTGAGAGATTTCAAAGTTTTATAATACTATATAATAAGCAAAATAAAAAAGGAAAAAATCTTTGACATTATCTAAACATGATAACCTGATGAGACGTAAATGATCCTGTATAATATTAGGCAGAACGTTTTCGAAATTGTTAAATCTATCGAGATCGATGACGCGTATCTTGAGATTTTCCAGCTGACTGCACACATGAAAGACTAACAGACTTAAAAAACAATCTGTACCAGTGTACGCAGCTGCAAACATACATATGCTAATAGTTTGCAAGGCATAAGTTATTTCATAAAACGGACTTTCATCTCGATCATAGAAGTAATATGTTTGTAATGGCATCAATCTCCCAGGGTCTGTCTTATTCGTCAAATATCTCATTGAAACGCCGAAGACAGGAAGAACTGTAAACAAAAGACAGGACATCATTGTTGTAAAATATCCGAATATCGTGAGCTTGCTCGCAAATTTAACTCGTTTCATCATAACATTTCTCTCTTGCACAGCCTTTGGCTTCAACCAGTCGTGCTTAATCATGTTTAGAAGCGGTATAATATCTAGAAACAATAACTATGCAGAATTATGTATACCAGTTGTATTATTCTTGAAATGAAGGAGATATAGAAAAAAAACTTGTATTCATGTATATAATTTACACAAAGATGTAACAATCACACTCTTATACCTGTCTTTTTCTGCCACATTATGAAAAATTTTATCATTGCCATCATAAATTGTAAGGTGCATTGCAGATTATCAATCATCAACATTAAATCGCCCCATACTTTAAATAGAGAATATACACTCGGAATAATACAAAACCAGATTCCTATATTTAGCATAACGATTACACGAACGTTCGTTATTAATTTCTGCCGTTTGGATTCTTTATTTTTCGGCCAAATTCCCAACATCCTCAAGCATGTCCGATTTAATTTAATGGACCATTCGTAATCTGCAAATATTTAAAAAAAAATGGGAAATTTCATAAAAAAATTTCATTAAAATTAAATTATAGTTTTTAACATATTACTTTTTCTATGTATTTTAAGTTTTTCTATATATGTTTTTTACAATATATTCTTTTTTTCTCCGTTAAAATTTTATTTTTTCCAATGAATATTTATATTTGCTTATGCATTCACATTTACACAGAGATAATAAATTTGATTTTAGTTACGTCAAAATATATGTAAGGAATCATATTAAATTTCAAAAAATATTATATATATATAAGATATTATAATAATTAATATTTACGTGTATGCAAAAGAATAATAGATAATTATTATATGCAAATTATGGAAAAAAATATGGAATTATGGAAATAAATATAACGATTCTTCTAAAGAATTGTTTTCACTTGATTTGAATTTATATTTGTGTGTAAATAAAAATATGCATATGTCTGTCATGTGAAAGGATGAGCTTATCTAGTCTAATCAAGCCAATCGAAGAAAAATGAATACCTGCGTATGCTGAGTATTTTGATGTATTCATATCGATATCTATGAAGGAACTGAGAGCTTCCTCATTTTCATTTAGGGTGACGGTAGATCGTTGCGTGCGATGAAATTCGTTCCACTTAATATCATGTTCTGCAGATGTACATGTCGCACATCAATAATGTAATACTCATAACGAGAAGGTAGGCGATGTTTATAACCCTAAGGTTCTTGTAATGAGAAAAATAATAGCACAAATGCATAAACGAGAAGTATAGATACAGGGCCGCCCGCAGAAATAAAACTTGTGAACTGAAAAACTATTACTCAAAGATAAATTTGAAGTTACAATTAAATTGTACGTACTATGTTTTTTCTAATAGATTGTAAAAAATTGAAATTTAAAAGATATATATATATAATAGAATTAGAATTTTAAAAATTTAATTCTCTCATCATATCAATAATTGTTTAATCAGAATCTAGAATTATCGCAATCTTACTTTGAACATTGTTGTATATAGAATGACATCTTTTGATGAGAACGGCGTCTTTTTGCATTTCCGAGACGAGTTAGAAATTTGTAAAGCCGGTCCTGCTATGCTTGCCTCGTTAATAATTTATTGAAACTGCGAGGCACAACAAGGGGTGTGAAAGTTTTTTCCCCAAGTTGATCCACCTCCCACGTCCATAAACAGTTATTCTTTTACTATCTCGGTAAAATTATACATTTGACTATAGGCAAACTGTAGATATGCACGATCACCAATGCGTATCTGTTAACGGAGATGACTATACTATCATAGAATATTATCAATGTGTGTGTCTGTCATCGGAGATAACTATACAATCATAGATTGTATCTAAGTAAGCGTGAATATTATGAGAAAAACTTCCGATTTCTCGAGATTTCAAGATTTCCAAATTTTTGTTCTTAAATGAAGTGAAAAAATAATTTGAATTTACATAATATAAGATAATAACAAATAAATTATTTGTATTTTAATATATCACTCGTATTTTTGGTGCTGGAATTGTATAGAATAATTGTATAGATTAATTGTATAGAATATAAGTAATTAAACACCAGGGATATATCAGTTTTTTATTTGTAAAAAACAAAAGGGGCATTATTTAATAAAGATTCCATAAATAATAAAAAGATATTCCTATGGCTTTATAGTACATATCTGTTTGCTATAAACGAGTTTATTGGTTTGTGAAGAATAATTTAAAATACATATATTATTATATGTATGTTCTATAACAAAAGAAGAAACTATTTAACTGTTTAGATCATAAATGATACAACAACATTAGAATGCATACTGATAATTAAAATGTACGTACAAAATGTTATTATTATAAATAAAATTTATATTTTTATTATAAATAAATATATTGATTACAATTGAATTATATTTATATTATAAACATATTATTCTCGTCTGTTTTGCAATGCCTTACCTTAAAATCAGATACTGTTTACATTTTCTCGTTTATATTACCGATGTGCAAGCAAGACTGATATATAACCGCCTGATGTCTTTAGTAACTGAAACACATATAATAATGACAGATATTGAAAGCATTCTTCAATCAATAATGATAATTAATTTTATTTTTATTTTCTGTGTATTTTTGAAGGATTTATAATCTATGTATAATTTATGTATTTCTGAAGAATTTATAATTTGTATATTTTTGAAGGATTTATAATCTAATTCAATACTTTAATTCAATCATTTAATGTCTCCCGTACTTGGAACACTAATTTATATAATATAAATATATGCAATACAGTTTATATTAGTTGCACTATTCTTCAAATATTATCTTTCAATTGTTATCATTCAAATGTTATGCAAATTTTGCACAATTTTGAGGAAAGAAAAAATATAAATTCAATCATATTTTCTCAAAAGACAGTTAAAGTTATGATAATTTTATTTTCTTTGCAATATCTTTTTGTATCGAATTTGATAGGTGTAAAATTGCTTTAGCTTGCTTACGTTACAAAATGTAGCCATTGTCATAGGGAACAGCTTTCCTGCAGTAAGATACATCGGTCTATTGGTACAGATCATTATGGTCAATAGATTTCTCGCTTTTTTGGGCTCCATCATGTACCATTTGAGCTCGCATGCAGCCTTGTAAACTTCCTCACACTTGATAAACAGAGCGATTATATACGCGATAGAATTACACGTTAAATCAATCGAGATTCTATATTGGGCGAATAAAAAAAATCTTAATTAGAATTACACTTCATATTCTATCATGTTAGTAGTAATCCAACACAATGAACTGTATGGTACTTACTTGCGCGAGTAAAATTTCTCCCACGGCACAATAGAGGCAAGTATGCGCAAATGAATTAACAAATGTTGTCATGATGAAAGATGAACGCAATACAGAGATATTGTCATGCTGTGTTATTATCTAAAGGAATAAATGAGATTCAATATACATATATGTAATTAATCTGTATTCCGAATGTAAAGAAAATTGATCCATAATATATATTTAGAGTTTTTAAATTTTTAAATGAAAAACTTCTTTATACTAATATGACGTTAACTATATATTAATTCTAATGTATATTATATTATTATTATCATTATTATTGTAAGATTTTAATATAACATTGAAAGAAAAAATGATATATAATCATAATAATTATAATAATTATTGTTTAATTATGAAATATGTATATTATATAATTAAGGATATTTTTAAAATGTACATAAATTTATATATATATATATATATATATATATATATATATATTTTATATTAATATGCAATATTGAAATTAAAAATTAATATTTATATTTATTCTTAAATTTTTAAAATTACAATTTAAAACTTAAGGAAAAAAAAGACAAAGAAAATATATATATTATTTTTTTAAATATCATTTTTGAAAATATATCTGTAAAAGGATACAATTCATATTAAATATATAGAGAAAATGCAATTAAATAAAACATAAAGTCTCTCTCTCTCTCTCTCTCTCTCTCTCTCTCTCTCTCTCTCTCTTTCTCTCTCTCTCTCTCTCTCGTTCTTTGTCTCTAAATTAAGTCTTCCTCTCTTCTTTCTCAAAAAATTACATAAATCAAGTTAGAGAAAAATATACTTACAGTACAGAATAAAAAACCATAAAAAGCAAATAATATGCTAAAGTAAAAGAGCGCCCCAAGAAGTATCAAGGTGAATATATTATCAATGATATTGATCGATCTGTAAGAGAAAATCATCAAAGAAAACAATATGTCAATGAGAATTTTATACTATATCATTATAATATTTTTAAATTGCAAAAGAGATTCTATAAAAAATCTAAAACGTCGAATTAAAAGAAGTCTAAGATGTCAAATTAGAAAAAACTAAAAAGTTAAATTAAAAAAAGTTTCTATCATTTTATTCTATTAATAGGACATTTAAAAAAACAATTCATTAATCATTTTGATTTATTGTAAATTAAGTTTATTTAAATTTTACAATTTTATGATAAAAAAATAACGTTATTGGAGACGTTATTACAAAGTTCCACAGTCTTATATTAGTCAAATAAAAAAAGTCTTATATTAGTCAAAATAAAAAAAGAAAAAAAAATTATTATTAAATATGATTCATAACCTGATAAGACGTATATGATTTTGAATACTGCGGGATAGAACACTTTCAAAATTGTTACATTTATCGAGATTGATGATGTGCATCTTGAGATTCTCCAGCTGACCGCACACATGAAAGACTAGCAGACTTAAAAAGCAATCTGTACCGGTGTACGCAGCTGCAACAATAGATATGCCGATAGTTTGCAGTGCGTAAGTTATTTCATATAAAGGACTTTTATCTCGCTCATAGAAATAATACGTTTGTAACGGCACCAATCTACCAGGATCCGTTTTATTTGTCAAATATCTCAATGAAAGACCGAAGACAGGAAGAATCGTAAACAAAAAAAAGGACATGAACATTATAAAATATCCGAATATTGTGAACATGCATGCGAGTCTAGCTCGTTTTATCATAACACTTCTTTCTTGCATAGTTTTTGGCTCTAACCAATCGTGCTTAATCATGTTTAAAAGCGGTAGAATATCTAGAAATAATAAATATATAGGAGTATGTGCATCACAATGTTATGTGCTTATTCTTAAAAGATATTGTAAAGAGGGATTCTAAAGTAGATATTAATAAAAAACATGTTTTTGAGTCATGTACATAATGATAACAGATATATATATATATAGCTTGCTTATACCTTTCTTTTTCTGCCATAAGATAAAAAATTTTATTGTTCCTATCACACATGGTAAGGTGTATTGTAGATTATCGATCACTGACATTATGTCGCCCCATATTTTGACCAGAGAATACACACCTGGAACGATACAGACCCAGATCCCTATATTTAGTAGAATAATTACGCGCATGTTCGTCATTAATTTCTCCCATTTAGTTTCTTTATTTTTCGGCCAAATGCCCAACATCTTCAAGCACATTCGATTTAATTTGATGCACCATTTGTAATCTGCACATATTTACAAAAATGAAAAAAATATCGTTAATATCAAATCATTTTAGCCAACAAAATTTTTTTACGTTTTTTATATTTCTTTTCTTTCTGATATGATATATGATTTTCTGATATATATTATTTAAATATATATTTAAATTTACTTTACGTATTTACATTTACATAGAGTAGATAAATATTGGATCTCGTTGAACTAAAACATGTAATTGTAAATGTAACATGTAATTATATATATATATATATATATATACTGCCTAAAATAAATTTGTTATTATTTTGAATAATCATATATATGTAATATCATCATTATTTTAAATAGTTAAATAGCAAATTTTAAATAGTTAAATATAACAAATTGTTTTTTTCAAAGAAATTCTTGCCAGATTTTAATTTGCATTTTTAATAATCTTGTGTTATTGAAAATAATTCGAATATCTGTTATAAAAAATGATAAGTTGAGTTAATTTTGATTAAGTCAATTAAGGAAGAACACCTGCATATGCCGAATGTTTCGATGTATTCATATCGGTATCTACGAAGAGACTGAGAGCTTCTTCATCTTCATTTAGGATAGCGGTAGATCGTTGCGTGAGAAATTAATACCATAATCGACAGATGTACATGTTGCACATCAATAATGTAATACTCATAACGAGAAAATAGGCGATGTTTATACCCCTAAGGGTTTCGTAATAAGAAAATTTATAGCACAAATGTACAAACGAGAAATATAGACACAGAGCCGCACTTAGAAACAAAACTTGTGAACTGACAAATTATTACTCGAAGATAAATTTAAAATTATTAAAATTATTAAAAATATTAAATATAAATAAAGATAAATTTAAAGTTATAATTAAATTGTACTATGTTTTTTCATAAATCATAAAAAATTGAAAAATTTAGAAGATGTACGTACATAATAGAATCAGAAATCTAAAAATTCAATTCTTTCATCATATCGATAATTGTCTAGTCACGATTTATTGTAATTTTATTTTGTACATTGTTGTGTATATGGAATGACTTTTTTAAATGAGCGTCTTTTTGCACTTTCGAGATTTCTCTAGCTAGGAATTTGTAAAACCGATCCTGCTACGCTCGCCTCGTTAATAATTTATTGAAACTGCGAAGCGCAACAAGGGGTGTGAAAGTTTTTTCCCCAAGCCGATTCCTCCTCCAACGTTTATAAATAGTTATTCTTTTACCACATCTCGATGAAATTATACGTTTGACTATAGATATGCACGATCACCAATGCGTGTCTGTTACCGGAGATGATCATAGAATATTACTAGTGTGTGTGTCTGTCATTAGAAATAACTATACTATCATAGATTATATTTAAGTAATGTAAATAGCAATGTGTCAAAATCAGACAATATCTAAATACTGAGATATTGTTATAATCTAAAATGAGAATCAATATACACGCAATTAATCTTTATTTCAAATGTGAAGAAGATTGCTTGACACAGTATACATATTTGTATATTATGAGTTTAAATTCTGAAATGAAAGTATCTTCTCTATACTAATGTGACGTTAAATATTAATTCTAATTTATGTTATATCATTATTATTGTGACATTTGCATATTTAATATTTAAATGAGAGATGTATCATTCTAAAATGTATTTATATAATTAAGAAAATTATTAATTATATATATAATATTATTAATTAAGAATATTATTTTTTTAAATTAAAATTCATATATATACATATACATATATGTACATGTATATACACATATGTATATTTTTTATTAATATGTTGAAATTAAAAATTAATATTTATATCTCGTTCATAGAAATAATATGTTTGTAATGACATCAATCAACCAGAATACATTTTATTCGTTAGAAATCAATATTTATTAAAACATGTAACACTTTAAATTTATTTATTTTAGATTATTTTAGATCTACACAATATACATATATAAATATATATATATATATATATTATGCAGCAAAAAAGCGTAGTAAAAAATTTAAACCATATCATTTTTTATCACACACATACATTGACCTTGTAAAAATATTTTAATACATTAAAAGATTACAATACATAGAATTAATTTATAGTAAAGCATATATTATGTTAATAACAAGTATAAAAACTTTACTGTAATTATGTAATTTTTGTTTATATCCATAACAACAAAGATATCGCGTCGATTTCTAGATGAATGTCCCTAATTCAATTACGATGTGCCAGTAAGACCGATATATAACCACCCGATGTTTTTAATAACTAAAATATGATATATTTATATGATATATTCATATGTATAGTATAAGATTTATGTAGACATATTTTACTTTAAACATATTTTAGACGAATTTAATCTTACAAATTATTGTTATATATGTTTTACTTTCTTTTCCCATTTTGCATTATTAATTATTTACTATATAAGATAATGGATTTCAAAAGTATAGATATTGAATGTGTCTTACATACAATGAAATACTGTATTGATGTGTCATTTTTAACATACATCTTATTTTATATTATCACAGAATGCTTATTATGTTATATTATTATTTACTTTTTGCATTATAAGTATAGAATTTGAGCATAGAATTTTGAAATTTTATTATAGAAGATTTTTCAATATCTTATGATAAAAAAATTTTACTATTCTATAATTTTTTTTACAAGGAATGTTAAGGAAAAGAATTGTTTTATCACAATATTACAATGACGTTAATTTGGAGTTAATCTTACGCCACAAAACGTAGTCATCGTCATAGGAAAGAGCTTTCCTGCGGTAAGATATAGCGGTTTCTTGGCTTGCATCATCATAAATAGGAGATTTTTCGCTTGTTTCGGCTTCAAGTTGTACCACTTGTATTGGCAAACAGCTTCATAAATCCCATTGCACTAATGAACAGTGAAAACGATCAAACCACATATTCAAATAAAAGTAAGTTCATCAAATGCTCAAACGGTAAGTTCGTCAAATATAAATCACATAAAATTAATTAATTCTATACTCTCTGTGACATATAAATTGTAATATAAATAATAAGGAAATAATTAATATAAATAAGCAAAATTACTTACTTGGATAACTAAAACTTCGCCTACCGCACAATAAAGACACATATGCGTGAATGTATTCATGAAGGATATTAAGATGTAAATTAATCGAGCGATGGAGAGATTCCGACCTTGTGTCATTATCTAAATCCAATTTGGCAAAAACGAATGAATGTAATTAGAGTTTTGAATAATTAGAGATTTGAATGTGTCTTAAAAAACTAAAATTGATTTTAAAAAATTGATCAAATATTGAAATAAACTCTGCAAACATTTCTATTCTAAAAGCAAAAATTTATTCAAGAAATTTAGTTTATTTAATTAAAAATAATGAGACCATTTCTTGAGAACATTTTCCTGAGAATTTTTCCTTTTATATATTTTATTCGTTTTATATATCTTTTAAAAAGAGTAAATGATATTTATTTTGTGAATCAATTTTTTTAAATGGCATATAAAAAATAAACCATATATTTACAATTTTAATTTTAAATTTATGTTTATTATTGCAGATAGAAACACACATAAATAAAAAGTTAGAAGAAAAATACTTGCAGTAACGAATAAATATCCGTATAGAGCAAAAAGTATGCCGAAATAAACTAACAATCCAAGTAGCATTAAAGTAAATGTATCGTCAATTATTTTGATAGATCTGTAAGAGAAGGTTAATAAATATAACGTCAATAAATATACATTATATTTCGCTTTATAGTCTCTCTTCTCATCTTTCTTTTTTTTAAATCTTTTTAGCCTTTTTTTTAAATATAAATAGCAGATAATATTATATATAATTTTGTAATTATAATAAAAATAGAAACTTCTATAATTTAAAATTCATACAATTTTATGTAAAATTTACATAATTAATAAGTTCAATTATGACTACTAAAAATTGTTTGAAAAAACAAATGTATTGAACTATAAATATAATTATATATTGAACTATAAATATATAAAATTAAACTTGTTAAATTAACTTTCCGCCAATAAGATCTTTTGCCAATATTTAGGAATTTATTTTAATATTTTAATATAATAAGAATTTTTAGATCAAATCAGAAAAAAATGTGAAAATATTCTATAATTATACAATAAATTGGTTCATTTCTCCTTTGCTCGTCAATGTACGAAACCTGATAAGGCGTATATGCTCCCTCACGTTGAACAATAGAGAGTCGAAGCGATTAAATTCCAGATCGAGTATACGCGCTCTGAGGTTCTCGAGTTGGCCGCATACGTGGAAGATAAGAAATCCCATGAAAGTGTCCGTACCGGTGTATATGGGCGCGGCTGCCATCAAACTGAAGCCTTGTAGGACGAAAGTCATTTCATAAAATGGACTGTTATTTACATTGTATAAGTAATACGTCTGCAGAGGCATCAATCTACCCGGATCAGTAATATTTGTTAGATATCTCAATGACATGCCAAAGCCGGGAAAGATCACGACCAGAATAAATGAAATGAACATTACGAAATATCCCCATATCATTATCAGACGTGCAGTTTGTGCACGTCTTACCATAATCGCTTGTTCTTTTTCTGTCTTTAATCTCGTCCAGTCCTTTTCAATCATTTTCAGAATTGGTATCAGAGCTATTGGGAATAAATTAGGATTATATCGCATAATTTTATGAATATTGAAAATTATACACACTTTCGAAAAAAAGAATTAGAAAACAACAAATATAATATTAAAGATAAATGTGTAAATTATTGTGAATAAACACAAAAATTCTTAATTTTATTATATAAATTTTATTGTAAAAATAATATTTAAATTCATATCTTATTTAAATCATATAATATTAAAATTTAATGGATTTTTCTCTTCTTAAAGTTTTAATTGACAGAATCAAAACAAGAAGAATTGAGAGAATATTTTTCTTCTTCTTATTTAAAATATTATAATATCTGATATATTGTGAAAATTTTTTTTTAAAGAAATACCATTTTTCTTTTGCCACATTAAAACGAATTTCATTATTGATATCAGAAGTGGCAAACTGTACTGCAAGTTATCAATCATAGATGTGATGTCGCCCCATATTCTGATAAGGGAATGAAAAGTCGGAATAGCACTGCTCCAAATAATTATGATTAATATAACAATCACACGAGCGTCGGTCATCCATCTCCTTCGTCCACTCTTTTCCGTTTCCGGCCACATTCCCAAAAGCCTTAAGCAAGCTCGATTTAACGTAATGAACCATTCGTAATCTATTTTCAAAAATAAACACGATGTATTAAAAATTTTGAAAATTTAAATAGAATTCATTAATTTACATTTTACTGAGATTAATTTATATGATTTTTTATTTACAGAGAAACAGCATATGTTGCACACATATATTTATTTTTTTTATGTACGTAACAATCGATTTTTTTACGGTTCTTATATTTTTTAGCTTTTATTTAGAAATACAATATTAAAAATTCGCTATTCATTTAAACGGGAGAAATTTTTGCTATATGAAAATTATCACAGAAAAAAGTACCTGCATGTCCTGAATGTCTCGAGACATCCATACCGACGTATACAAGGCGACTAACTTCCTTTTTTTCGGTGCAATTGTATTCTCGACTACTCGTATAATAAAGTATGCAAAAACTTTCAAATTCAATGGCATTATACAGGTGAATACAGATAGCTATTAATAATGCAAATGTCTGTAAGGAAAATATGCTTATAGCTCATTTGTTCATCCCAAAGAGGGTTGAATTGTGGAGGGATGATTAATTGCCCCTCTGCAAACGAAACAGCTGCAAACTATCGACAGCAAAGGGCCGCATTTACTTACGTATTAAATATATTTCACAAATCGCGAAAAATTATGTACTAAATTTTAGGACTAACTCAAAGCATATGTTTACTTTGTAGATTGTGTATGTGTATTAAGGAATTCAATTTCCAAAAAAATATTTGTATTTTTCCAAAAATATAATAGATATGATAGGAAGAATTGAATTGAATTGAATGATTAGTTTCACATTTCATAATTACTGTAGAGTCAATCCTTTAAGAAAGACTTTTTGCGTTCTTCTCTTCATTACTCGATTATTCTAGCGATTTTTAAAACCGGCCCTGTGTAAAGAGCAATTATTGATTACCTGGGAGCTGTGCAAGTTTTTACAATTGAAGTTTCAAATATCGAAACTTTAACTTTTGTTTTTCCTTGCCTGAAATACTACCCTTTAACAATAGTCTAATAAAGTTGTCCAAGAAAATTATATACTAGCAAGTCATATACACAGCCATGAGCAACACGCAACACAAATACACTCATTATTATCCATCTTGTATCTCTCGTCAGACTATAGCATTTTGAGATTCCTAAATTGTTATCAAGAGAATTATTTCGAGCACTCTGCTCACTATTGTTTATTAAGTCTGCAATTGTAAATTTTTGAGAAACATTGGAAAATATATAATCTATTAAAAAAGAGTATAAATTTTTCTAATATGATATTATGTAATATTAATTGTATACACATATATATATATATATATATATATATATATATGCATGTATGTATATATATATATGTATGTGTATGTGTGCAATAAGTGGAAATTGTTGGCGTGTAGAATAAATGTGGTAAGTGTAAAATTAAAATATATAGAATTAATTCTACAAAGTCTATATTGATATAATAACAAATATAGTAAAAGCTTAACTCTAACTATTAAGTAATTTTCCTTTATATCGATAATAATATATTGATGTCATGTTGGATTTCCAGAAGAATGTTCCTAATTCAGTTACGATATGCCAGTAAGACCGATATATAACCACCCGATGTTTTTAATAACTAAAATACGATATATTTACGTGAATATATATGAATATATATAACATAATATTTATGTAGACACATTTTACGAATTTAATCTTAGAAATTATTGTTTTATTTCCTCTCCGTGTTCGCATTTTTATTATTATTTTATAATTATTTATTATTAAGATAATTGGTTTCCAAAGTATAGGTATCGAATAAATGTAATGTCACATATACAATAAAACACTATATTCATACGTGTAATTTTTAAAACAATACTTATTTTATATTATCAGGGAATGCTTTTGTTATATTATTATTTTATATGTCTTTGCAACAATAAATTTTTTCCTTTTTTAACATAGAAGATTTTTCCACATTTTATAGTCAAAAAATTTTACTATTCTATAATTAAATATTATCAAATCTCTTCAATATACCGTTTTTTATGAGAAATGTTAATGGAACGAATTGTTTTATCACAATATTATAATGATGTTAATTTGGAGTTGCTCTTACGCCACAAAACGTAGTCATCGTCATAGGAAAGATCTTTCCTGCGGTGAGATACAGCGGTCTCCTGGCTTGAATCATCATAAATAGGAGATTCCTTGCCTGTCTTGGTTTTAAGTTGTACCATTTGTATTGGCAAATAGCGTCATAAATCCCATTGCACTTAATGAACAATGAAAACGATCAAACCATAGGTTCAAAAAAGGGCAAGTTTATTAATATAAGTTTATAAATATTCAAATAAATATTGCACAAAATTAGTTAATTTTATACTTTCTGTGACATATAAATCACAAAAAAAATAATTAATATATAAACAAAATTACTTACTTGGATAACTAAAACTTCACCTACCGCACAATAAAGACACATATGTGTGAATGTATTCATGGAAGATATTAGGATGAAAATTAATCGAGCGATGGAGAGATTTCGACCTTGTGTCATTATCTGAGCAATTTGGCATAAACGAATTAATGTAATTAGAGTTTTGAGTAATTAGAGATTTGAAGGTGTCTTAAAAAATTAAAATTGATTTTAAAAAAATTGATCAAATATTGAATAAACTCTACAAACATTTCTATTCTAAAAACAAAAATTTATTCAAGAAATTTAGTTTATTTAATTAAAAATAATGAGACTATTTTTTGAGAACATTTTCCTGAGAATTTTTCCTTTTATATATTTTATTCGTCTTATATATCTTTTAAAAAGAATAAATGATATTTATTTTGTGAATCAATTTTTTTAAATGATATATAATTAAAAAATAAACCATATATTTACAATTTTAATTATAAATTTATGTTTATTATTGCAGATAGAAACACACATAAATAAAAAGTTAGAAGAAAAATACTTGCAGTAACGAATAAAAATCCATATAGAGCAAAAACAATGCCGAAATAAATTAGCAGTCCAAGCAGCATTAAAGTAAACGTATCGTCAATTGTATTGATAGATCTGTAAGAAAAAGTAACAAATAATAATATCAAATATATATTATATTTATATTTTTTCTTCTTACCTTTCTTTTTTTTTAAATATAAATACCAGATAATGTTACACATAATTTTGTAATTATAATAAAAGTAGCAGAAAAATTTTATAATTTAGAAATCATGCAATTTTGTGTAAAATTTATATAATTAATAAGTTCAATTCAATTATAATTACTAAAATTGTTTGAAAACAAATATATTAATTAAATTTGTTAAATTAACTTTACATCAATGAAATCTTTTGATTTATTTACGGATTTATTTTGATACAATAAGAATTCTTAGATTAAATCAGAAAAAAATGTAAAAATATTCTATAACTTTATTAATAAAATGATTCATTTTTGCTTTTTTCGGCAATATGTATGAGACCTGATAAGGCGTATATGCTCCTGTGCGTTGACGGATAGCTCGAAATGATTAAATTCCATATCGAGGATACGCGCTCTGAGGTTCTCGAGCTGGCCGCATACGTGGAAGATAAGAAATCCCATGAAAGTGTCCGTACCGGTGTATATGATCGCGCCTGCCATCATGCTGAAACCTTGCAGAATTAAGGTTATTTCATAAAATGGACTGTTATTTATGTTGTACATGTAATATGTTGGCAGAAACATTGATCTATCTGAATTGGTAACATTCGTCATGTATCTCAATGACATGCCAAAGCTAGGGAAGATTACGAGCGCAATGAATGAGATGAACATCACGAAGTACCCCCATATCATTATCAGACGTGCAGTTTGTGCACGTCTTATCATAATCGCTCGTTCCTTTTTCGTTTTTATTTTCGTCCAGTCCTCTTTAACCATTTTCAGAATTGGTATCAGAGCTATCGGGAATAAATTGGAATTAAATGTCACAGAATATTATGAATATTAAAAATGATGAAAATTATTAAACATTCGAGAAAAAGAATTATAAAACAAAGAATATAATACGAATATAATACAAGAAAATATAGATTTAATACTAAAACATTTTATAAATTATTGTGAATAAATACAAAAATTCTTAATTTTATTATATAAACCTTATTATGAAATAATATTTTATTAAATCATATAATCATATAATCATATAATCACTATTGAAAATTAACAGATTTTTTAATTTTTTGTTATATAAAATTTTGAATACAAAATCGAAAGAAGAAGAATTGAGAGAATATTTTTCCGTATTTCTCTTTTTTTATTTAAAATATTATAATATCTGATATATTGTGCAAATTTTTTCGTTAAAGAAATACCATTCTTCTTTTGCCACATTAAGACGAATTTTATTATTGCTATCAGAAGCGGCAAACAGTATTGCAAATGATCAATCATAGATGTGATATCACCCCATATTCTAATACAGGAATGAAAAGTCGGGATGATACTGTTCCAGAGCATTATGATTAATATAACAATTACACGCGCATCGATCATCCATTTCTTTTGTCCATTTCTTTCGTCTATTTCCGGCCATATTCCCAATAATCCCAAGCAAGCCCGATTTAACGTAATGAACCATTCATAATCTGTTTTCAAAAATAAATGATATATAAGATTTCGATAAAATTTAAACGAAATTCATTAACTTATGTTTTACTGAGATTAATTTAATACTGAGGTTAGTATTTAATTTATGATTTTTTATTTACAGAGAAACAGCGTGTGTACACACATACTTATTTTTTTGTTTATGTACAAATCTATTTTTCTACAATTGTTATATTTGTCAACTTTTATTTAGAAATATTATTTGAAAATTTACTATTCATTTAAAAGAGAAATTTGTACTACTATATGAAAATTATCGGAAAAAAGTACCTGCGTGTCCTGAATGTCTTGAGACATCCATACTGACAAGGCGAATAATTTTCTTTTTGTTGGTGCAGTCGTATTCTCGACTATCCGTATAATAAAGTGTGCAGAAACTTTCGAACTCAATGACATTATACAGGTGAATACAGATAACTATAATTAATAATGCAAATGTCTGTAAGCAAAAGATGCTTATAGCTCGATTGTTCACCCCAAGAAGGGTTGAATTGTGAAGGGATGGTTAATCACTCCTCTGCGAACGAAACAGCTGCGAACTATCGACAGCATCGAAGGGCCGCATTTACTATAATAAATATATTTTACAAATTGTGAAACATTATGTATCAAGCTTTAGGATTCATTCAAAACATACGTTCACATTGCACATTGTGTGTGTATATGTGTTAAGAAATTCGATTTCCAAAAAAATATATTTCATATTTTTATGAAATTATAATAGATAATATAGAAATAAGGATTGAATTTAATTTGATAAAATTAATTTTTGATTTGATTGAATTTAATTTTTAGTTTAATATCTCATAATTAATGTAGAGTCAATTCTTTAAGAAAGACTTTTTGCGTTCTTCTCTTCATCACTTTAGTGGTTTTTAAAACCGACCCTGTGTAAAGAGTAATTATTGATTAGGAAACATGCAAGTTTTTACAGAAGTAGTTTGAAATATCGAAACTTCAACTTTTATTTTTGCTTGTCTAAAAATTACTCTTTCACGATGGTCTGATGAAGTTTTCCAAGCAAATTATATACCCAGCACGTCACATATACAGAGCATGCAACACAAATACATTCACCATCATCCAACTTGTATCTTTCATCCGATTATAGCATTTTAATCCCTAAATTGTTATCAGCAGCATTATTTCGAACATTCTGCATCATTTATTAAATCAGCAGTTGTAAATTTTTGAGAGAGTTTGGAAAATATATAATCTATTAAAAGAGAATAAATTTTTATAATATTACGTAATATTAATTGTATATATATATATATATATATATATATATATATATATATATATATACATATATGTGTGAATATGTATATATATATGTGTGAAATAGATGAAAATAGATATGAGTGTTTATTATATATTCCACAGTTTTTATAAATTATTATATATTAAAATAGAAATTAAATATTTTGATAGTATAGAGATCGTTTTTATTCAATATTGCAATTATATATACAACTAATTTGCATGATTGTTTATTTAAAATTAACATAAAATAAAATAAACGAAAATAAAACACGAATCACTTGTTGATATAATAATTATATAACATATTTATATAATAATTATATAATAATTATATAATATATTTATTTTGAGGACATATTTGAAGAAAGAATATTTGATATTATTTGCAATTTTATTTTTATTATATATATATATATATATATATATATATATATATTTTATCATGTGAATTTATTTTTCAATAATATAATTTTTAACATAATATTAAAAATTATTATCATACATATATAGATTTGTTTCTTGTAACCTATCATTTTCAATACTGTTCGCGAATGTCAGTTGTCTTCAAAACTCCATACTTAAAATAAGAATTAATAACAATGTAAAAATGATGAAATCCTTTATTCTCTTGTAATTTCCTGCAGATATTCGCGATTTTCTTCGTCTAGACTGATATGAACATCCGGACGTGGAGGATTTTCACATGAAATACCGTAAGTAGCCACACCAACGAATTTGCCTTCGTAAATTAAAGGACTACCGCTGAAACCCTAGATAATAGTTATAAATGTTAAATTGATAATATTTAATTTCGATATTCCTATTTCATTAAACTTTTGCACACGCACATACATATACATAGCATATTTTGGATTTATGCACATAGCTATTAAATAATACTGTGATTCTTATTTATATAGCTTAAATTAATTCTTTTTTCATAATTAATAATAATTAATATTTTATTAGTATAAATTATTATTATATATTTATTATTATTAGTATATATTATTATTATATATTTATTATTAATTATTATAAATATTAATTAATATAAATGTAGTTGATTAAAGAATGAGAAAAATTTGCATTAGAAATATCTATGTGAGAGGCTTTTTCAAATTTAATTAAATTTTATATTAAAAATTACGTATATAATAATTTTTAATTTTATCTCTGATGATATATTTCGCTTACCTTACAAAATATGCCTTCGGGTTCCGGCACAGTACAGAATTCAGATACATCGAGCTTCTTCTTGTGAAATGGTTGACATTTTTGAGAATTTATTGTATTTAACGTGACTTTCTTGAGATGCGCCGTCTTCTTTCCTTGATGATCAGCCATCATCCACCCAACCATTTCTAGTTTCGCGTCGGGCGGTACTTCTGTGTCAGATAACTTAATCGGTTGCACAGTATCTCCAAATTGAATCGGCTGATTGAGCTGCGAAAGATATTTCATTCAATTTGTAATATGTATCGCAAAACACGTAGGGGAATTTCCGAAACAATTAAATAAGAAATAACAAAAATTTTTTTACACTTCAATATTTCGTCTAAGCGATTAGCAAAGGGGAACAACTTATAATTCCTAATATTTTATTTGAAAAGAAAGAATTATCTTAATAACACATTTAAATATTAAAAATTTTATAACTTAAATATCTGATATATTTAATTATGTTAATACATAGTCGGTTTCTGGTAAATATCAGTTAATTTTACACAAACACATATTATTTGTTTTGTTAAATAATTATAACAAAACAAATAATATGTGTCTGTGTGAAATTAAAATTAATTAAGATATATAAATATATATTTTATTTATATATTCTAATTAAAATAAACACACATTTATATAAATAAAATTAATTAAAGCATGTACCTTAATTACACCAAGACCGCTCGTGACGGGATTATCAAGAGGATTATTAACGTAATGATTTTGCGAGAACATTTCTTTTACAAAGATACTTTTGCCACTGGGTTTGAGGCTGCTCGTACCGCAAACCACGACTATATTGTTCATGACATTCCAAATATGTTCAAATGGCGGCACGCATCGATCTGACGTGACAACGTGTAGCTCATCAAGTATCGCACCGGAACATATGGGTTTGCCGTTTCTTTTAATCAACACAACGTACGGATACTTGCTGATATCAACATCGCCATCACTGATTTCAACTTCCTCAGCATTAATACCTGCGAATATTAATAACTTTTAACAATAATTAATTATTCTTTTCTTGTCAAAATGAAAAATACATTATTCTTAAATAAAAAGAAAGGGAGAGAGAGATAACAATTTTATTTTACTTTGTATGCAATACAAATGACTCAATTTTTAAATGCATGAAATTAATTTAATGTTTTTATACTTTCTCGCGATATTATAATAATGCAATTAAATTTAAAAAAATTAATATTAAAGAGCATAAAAAGAGAATAATTAGTATTTTTGAATACTGATTTTAGCTTCCAATATTTTAGAGAAATTTGTGATTAAAGTTGCAAAAATCGATTATTTTATTAAACTGTATAATCATATAACTAAAAATTAATGTTAAAATACATAATTAAAAATACAAATTAAATTAAAATTGGTATAAAAAGTGCTCCCTATTTTTTTGAGTATATATATATATATATATATATATATATATATATATATATACATATAGTAACATATTGATAAAATACTACTTACCAGCAACAACGAAAATCAAAATCCATGTGAGTCGGAACATTGCGAGTATCCCATATAAGAATATGATCTGGATAGAATTTAAAATACCCAACGCTATATTTGACTACTGTTTATATATACGATCGAATGTGTTTACGCAGTTGTGTTATTAATTATTAATCATTTACACAATTTGAAAAGCACAACACATCATTAACAGCAAATGATAACGCAACAGCTTTTTTTCGATTTCTGAGATGATTCATGAGAGAGATCTTTTTGCGCGATATAAAATCATAAATTTTAAATATATTTTTGAAATTATATATGCATATTATTTCAGACATGAAATATGTACTTCCAAAGTGAGAAAAAAATCGTTTATTATATTATCGTTTATGATATTGATTTATGATTATATTATATCATACGTTTTTGATTATATTATATTATATATTATATATTATAGTTATAAAAAGAGTAAAATAAAATGAGTATTTCTGCAAATTTGACATATATGAAATCATGAACGGCGGGAGCCAAAGTCTCAATATGAAAAATAATAAGTTATATATAATATATATATCATTTATCATTTTAAATTAAAATTAATCATAATAATGTTTATTCATATTTTACGTTTTGCATTGTTTCTACTAATATAAAGATATACGTAATTTTTTTTGTTAAAAAAATTACAAAAAACTATTGTTCGTGAGAGACAACGGTGTGCCAGAACAACAAGAATTAAAGAAACGTGTACGCGGATAAAGTCACTTAGTCACACGTAACGTTGTGTAAAAATAAATTTATTGAAGAGTCACAAAATCAAGCACAAAATGAGTAGAAAATTAAGAAGTATTTTTATTACCGGAGCGATTTTACAGCAACGGTGAGACGTTCTTTTAGCAGTATAACTGAGACTGCGAGTGTGCGAGACTGGAAAGTGGCGGTGTGATTTGTGAAAGTAAAAAAATGCGACTAGTGGATTTTTATCCCTTTTTAGTCGAGAATGTTTAAAGGAATGTTATTTCTGAATTTAATGGAATATTTATATTAATTAATTTTCAAAAAATATCTGATCGTAATAAAATTCTAATAACTTTTATATTTTGAACAACTATGGCGTTTCAAAGAAAATGAGAATTATGAAAAAATTGATGAAGTAATACATGTACATTTGTATAAATTTTAGTCTTGATAATTTATTAGGAATAATATCATTCGATCCGTGAGTCACTGATGTGTCAATATGCAAATACGCTAATTGCATATGGGGCAATATGATTGATATGATCCATGACATTGATTTAGTGCCGTGGTGAAGTCTCATGATTATGTGCACCCAATATAAGTGGTTTTTCAACTGTTCGCGGATATAAAGAAGAGCAATTTAAGAAAATTATCGATACTTGTATAAAAAAAAGCGATTGACAATATATTTAATTTTTCTTGCATATTAATAGTTTTTTTTTCAGTCAGAGAACAATGAATTTCCAGCTAAAAAGGTATATATTTAAGAGGAACGATGGAGGACGATAGTTTTATTATATACATTGCTCGTATGATATATAAAAGATATTTAAAAATCACCTTCGTATTTTTTTAAGTACATATTCATAATATTCAGAATTGGATTCTGTTGCTTTAGGGAACACCTATGAATAAGATATGACGCTAATAAATAAATAAACATAAAATGTGTACGTGTATTTAATTATTCTGTAAATTCTGTAAAATCTATAAATTCATTCTTTGCAAATGTTACGTCTTACCGATTCCGCAAATCCTTTCTTCCGCGATGATTGCCTAATTCGCCTGTCTTGGCTTGTAAAGAGAATGTTGGACACGTAATTCGATCACTAGTACACACTATCAAGACTGACGAGACACTGAAAATCTTTCTTTCGAAAGATTGAAACAGCGCGCGCAATAAGATAGATTACCGATTAGATGGTTAGGCTCTCGCAACTAATCAGTGAATATTGACCAGATATCTATGAGTAAAGACACTTAGGAAATAGTACCGATTCTTTTAACAAATAATTTTTGTCACGCGACGACATACCTATGATATTTCGAAATTTATCAAGAATCAACCACTTGATTTCTAAAATATAAATGATATCAAGAAATAAATCTTATAGATTATAAATTAGGAAACTATTAATTAACCAGTAAACACTTAAAAAGAATAAATCACACACATCCACAATTAATTATGATTTGTTATTCAAAGTGAGCAAAAATTATTGTAACCTCCAGTCGAGCATAAAAATAAAAATAAAGTCACTTCGTATTCTGTTCGACTGATGACCTTCGCATTTATGTAATATCCGCGAAAAAGCACACATACATACTCCCTCTTATTACGTTTAATTTAACATTATTAATTATAAAATAATTATAATTTTATGTTTAATTTTGTTTTCTATGAATAAATTTAAAACCTTGTTATTAACTTTTTCTATTAATTAATTACCCCGCTCTCATTCCTAGTTATTAAGACTCGTACTTGGTTCCGCCCCGAGTGAAAGGGATTAAATTCCCCATAGATTTATATGAAATTCCCTTATCGAAAAGGGAACCACCGAGCGAACATTCAAAGGACAGAGTAACAGCGATTCAAAGAGAGTCGTTTACCTGCTTTTCGAGCTTTAAATTTCGTTCGATCTAAGTCGCTTTGGGAAAAATATATCTGTGTTACGCTCTTCCTTCGACCCATCCTTCCCTGGGCCTGAACGTAACACAAAACATGAAAAAAGATATTTTCGCAAAGATATTTTCACAATATTTCAACAAAGTGATATATTTGTAAACTTATATAAGATTTTTCATGCATGTTAATAATATTATTAATATATATACTAAAAAACATAATATTTAATAAATTCTACATAATATCTATTTTTTTTCGTTTTTTACGTTTCTAAAATCTTATACATGAAGACTTAGAAATTTTTCATAGAGGGATTGTATTATATCACATAATTTATATTTATTTTATTTTCAAATTAATATTTTGTCGTCAGTAAGACGGATATGTAACCGGCTGATGTTTTTATTAACTGAAAAGTATTTATTGAAATTAATATAAAAATTAAAGTGTAAATATAACGTAAGAAAACATCAGATAATATACAATATATTACATATTGAAATGTGCAAGTATGATTTATAAAAAGATGATTTATAAAATGATTATAAATACATATGATTTATAAGAATTAATCATATTAACGTTATATATTTATATATATTTGAATTTTAGCATAAACTTACGTTGCAAAATGTAGCCATTGTCATAGGAAATACTTTGCCAGCGGTAAGATAGAGAGGTTCATTGGTCCTGATCATTAGGAAAATTATATCCCGCGCATCTTTTGGATTCAGAGTATACCATTTATTAAAATATGCAGCATAATGAATTCGATTACACTTGAATTCAAGAAAAATACATTGAGTATATATATTATATATAGTATAGTATATATCAATTAAGAATTACATTAATTAGTATATATTAATTAGTATAGATTAATATAGTATATATATATATATGTTTATAAAATTTAGGTTATATACATCTTTAATATAATATAATATAATATAATATTATATGTGTGTGCATGTTTGTGTACGTAATTACGTATGTAATTCCATGAATAAGTCAATTTTATTATTAAAAAATATTTTTATTTTAATATATATAAATTTAAAATAAAATAAAAGTAAAAGACCTTTTGTTTCACAGTTAAAGTGTTTCCGTAAAGTGTTTAAAAAGTTACAATAATGATTACAGAAAAAAAGTAAATGAATCATAAGGAATTAAAAAGTATATGAAAAGTATATAAAAAATTTAAAAGACTTTAAACTCTTACCTGCGATACTAAAATTTCGCCTACAGCACAATAAGCACACATGTGTCCAAACGTATTGATAACCATTGTTATGAGATATGTTAAACGAGAACTAGATAAGTAATTCCCCTCATCTAGAAGCTACATATTTACATATGTTTAAAATATTATTATAATAAACATAGAATACTTAAAAAGCATTTATATTATTATATATATAATAATATATGTATATTATATTATATATATTATATATGTATATATATATACATATATATATATATATAATATAATATTAATAATATTAGCAAAAATAAAGTTATTTTTACGTGTATAAAAAGCGTAATGCAATATTTTGTATATCAAAAGTTTTCAAACGCTTTACTTACATTAAGAATTAAAAATCCGTAAAAAGCGAAAAGAATACCAAAATACAGAAATAATGCAAGTAACATTAGATTAAAAGTGTCTTCTATAATGGCAATAGATCTATATAGTAATGATTTATATATTACATAATTGTGTTATATTTAATATATCATTTTATTACATACATAATAATTATTCTTTTGCACAATCATTCTTATATTACATAGTTTTATATCTGCATATATTGTATAATAAATAAAAGTGTATTTATAGCACATGATAAATGCAAGCATGATTACCTGATTAGCCGCGTGTGGTCCATTACGCAGTTTTTTAAAGCTTTAGCATAATTTGTGAATTTATCCAGATGCGTGATACGATTTTTCAGGATATCCAGTTGGCCGCAGATATGAAATATCAACAAACTAAGAAAATTATCTATACCCGTGTAAGGCAAAACGCCTAAGAACATGGAGACAGCTTGAGAAATATATATTAATTCGTATTGTGGACTTTTAGTTATATCACATATATAATAATACGTTTGTAATGGCAATGGTTTGCCTGGATCAGTAATGTTCGTTAAGTATCTCATTGAAAAACCACAAGCAGGCATAAATATCGAAATGGAGAGACATATTCCCATCATGCTGTACATAAATATTGTAATTGTACGCGCAGTTTGCGCCCTTGTAATCATTATAATTTTTTCCCAAGAAGCTTTCGGCTTTACCCAATCATCCGCGATCATATCCATTAAAGATGATACAGCTTTAATAGGATTGGAAAATATAATACAGATAAAGAAAATTAAATATTAATATAAAAGAAAATTATAAATATTAATATAAAAGAAAATTAAATATTAATATAAAAGAAAATATTAAAAGAAAAATATGAGGGAATAAAGAAAAAATATTAGTGTTGAAAAAAATTATAACAATAAAATTATTAAAAATTAAATCAAAGAAATTTAATTTAATTTAAAAATATCTGAATCATATAAAAACGTAGCTTTCACAAATTTAAATAAATGTAATATATATTTAAAATTAGCGTTGACGAATTAAATTGTAACATTTATGAGGTAGAGAAAAATATTGCAAATATTTAAAAGTTAAATATATATATATTGTAAAACTAAATATATATAAAAAATGTTTTATTATCTTATGTTATATATATTTTCCTTAATTTTTATTTTTCTTAATTTAACATAAACGATTAAATTTTTATTTAAATTTGAAACTGACTAACCTTCTTTCTTCCACCAAAAAATTACAATTCTTAGCATGGCGGTGACGACTGGTAAAGTAAATTGTAAATTGTCTATCATTAGCATAACATCTCCACGAATTCTTATTAGAGAATGTATGGCAGGAATCAAAATACCAATCAGCAATGACATGAAAACGATAAACACACGTAAATTGCACATACACTTTTCCCATGTAGTTTGTTCTGTCTCGGGCCAAAGACCGATGATTTTCAAAGTACACCTATTCAACTTTACTGCCCATTCAAAATCTATTCAAGAAAATTGTATGATCCAAATTATTCCTAATTTTAGAGGAAATTTTATAATATAATATTAAATTTTTTAAATTATATTATAGATCAAACATTTAAACACAAAAGAAAGTAAAAATGTTCACTATTTTTCTTGAAATTATATACAAAGAGCACACATGATTATAAAAACACTGATATGATATAATGACACTTAAAAAAATATTGAAATTTTAAAATTTAATTGTTTTTATTCTTTAACACATAAAACAACATTAAAATTTTAAAATTTAAATTTTTTAAATCGTTTTTTATCTTTCTTTCTTATTGTTTTATTTGCACAAATATAATTAGCATTCTTTGTAGAACTGAATTACTTCTAATCATTCAAAATTTAAAGGAAACATTGATATTTAGTCAGTTGTTTATTCTAAATATGCGTTTCGCACGTATATACTTTATAATAAAAATATATTTCCGTCAAATATAGCTTCAACGATAATGACGGCACCTTCCGTATTTTTTGAAGTTTTCATGTTGCGCGTTATTCAAAGACTGGCCTCTGTCTCTTTATCCTGGAATAACGTCAACTCCTATTCGACAAAGCGCACGCGTCTTTTTTTATACATGTCCGGGTCTATACATACTTTTTTATTGTCTAGTGAACGACCAGATAATGATCACTTACCATAAGCTTCTTTAAATATTCCGAGCACCCTTCGTTTTTATGTCTCTTCGGCGGGAAACGATGTAATACATAAGTATCCGTGGAAAAACGTGGATATAATAACAGATGGGTGATCGCGGCGGGAAACAATGTAGCAAACATGTGTGAAAAAAAATATGGATATAATAATAGGTGAGTGATTGTCCTGATCGCAAGAATGAACACATACAATATGTACATCTGTTATATTCTCATATACTTTCATAATCGATCTCGGACATACATCTTCGATTTTGTAGGGGAGAAATTGTTTTGAAATTTTTCAAACTGTTATTAACTTTCTTTCTTACTATAGCGACGGAAATCGCGTTACTGGCACAATTTCTTAAGGATCTAGCGTATATTATTATACTTTCGTGCATATGTGTTTAATTATCCTGTGTGTATGTTTAATTATTTATAAATTTATTTCACATAATTCAATATAATTATAGCAGTGAACTAAATGAGCTAAGTAGTGTTCAATTTAATTATAGCAGTGAATTAAATATATCACTATTACACTTTCTATTTATACAAATAATATAAATATTTTTCAAGATATATATATATAAAATAAACAATTATTGTTTTAAATATTTTGACAATTATTTTTATCATTAAAACAAATATTCTCTTATCATGCTGATTGTGAGTCTATTACTGAAATATAAAATTAATTTAAACATATATAAGTCTATAAATAAATCGAATATGTCAAATTCTTCTATTGCTAATTGTTAGTTCTTTTTATTTCTGTGATATTCTGCGTCTGTAAGTACACATTTTTTAAAAACCTAAAAATATGTATTTGTATTAATATAAAATTTTTTTATTTAATAAATTATATCATATTTTGCAAATTAATATTAAAATATGAAAAATATTTATGTATATAATATTATATGAGTATTATAGAAATATTCAAATTTTAAAAATTTATAAAATTAATTTAGATTAATGTTAATTAACATTACATAATATAAAATAAATTATAATCACATAAAAAATTATAATTATATAAACATAATATAAAATGCTAATATGCATTTTTAATTAATTATTATTGATAATTAATTATTACCGAGAGACCATATATTAATTTGTACATATCAAAGCAGGAATATATAGATATGCAATTTAAGTTTATCTTAAGATTTCGATTGATTTCTTGTTGTAACCAAAACAGACATATATCCAGCTGATGTTTTTAATAGCTAAAAGATATATATATATATATATATATATATATATATACATATATTGGTAACAATGTGAAATAAGATATGTGCAAGTATATAAAAATAATAATTATATATAAAAAAGTTAAGAAGTAAAGCAATTTTTTCTTAATTGTTAAGGAAATATTTGAGCTTTATAAGGAATACCATTTATGTACTGAAATTATAATTGAGATTTAAGATAACTTACATTGCAAAATGTAGCCATTGTCAAGGGAAATATTTTACCAATATTAAGATAAAAAGATTTATTGGACTTTGCCATTAAAAGAATTACACTTCGCGCATCTTTTGAATCCAAAGTATACCATTTATTGCAATATACAGCGTAATGAATTCGATCGCACTCAAAATCGTAAAAGATATGTACAAGTCAATAAGTTTTTAAATTGTATCTGATACAACTTGTAAAATTTAATTAAATTATAAACATGTATATAATCAATTGAATTATAAATGTGCATTTAAATTTTAAATAAATAGATTAATTTTTCTAGATAATTTACATAAAAATTACACCCAAATTTGTTTATAAAAACATAAATTTAATCTAAAATAAAAACTAAATTTAATTATTTTAAAAAGATATTGGGATCATAGAGAAATTGTATTATAATTTATAATTGCATAAAAAAATATAATATCTGGGTAATTATTTAAGTTAACGGACACCTCGCTGATGATGACCTTTATATATGTTGTAGAGATGAGAATGCTGATTAATTTTTCTCTTTATTTTATTTGAGATATCTTATAGTTTTTGAGATATTTAATAAAAAAGATTTAGTGATTGAAACGTATTTTTTTGACACGAAGTATATATATATTTAATATATTTGATATTTATAGAATCAGATATAATTCGACTGTGACGCTTTATCTTGTTCTATTTTTCAATTATTTAAATATAATTTGGATTCAAAACATACAGCAAAACAATCGAATCATAAATCGAAGTAATTAACATAATGAGAAGCTTCGTGATTATCAATCCTTTCTAACAAATATTATTTAATTAATCTATATAATCTAAAACATCCCTATATACTTTCATATTGTGTATATGTTAAAGTACGTAAAATATATCGACAATGAATGGATAATAACACGTTCGGCCGTGGCGGCGTATGACGCGCTGTGTTTACATGTACAGGCCGTATACATGCCTTGATATCATTCGCACGGCAACATTCGAGGAGTAAGGTTCGAAATACTTCATATATTGTCAAATTTTCTCTCTAACGATAAAACGCAATCGCGACTAGTTTTGAAATATAATTCGCTACAATAATTATAATTAATCTTTACTTAACTCCCTACTTTACTACATCCCTACTTTACTTCCTTAACTTTTAATTGTAATTATTCCGCGATCGGGAGTGCCGTGCAAAGTGTCTCGCGATTGTTGCGTATAAAAATTAATTTTAATTAATCTTATTTTCGAGAGTGAATGTGAGTGCAACGAAGAAAAAGAGCAAAGGAGAGGAAAGCAAGTCTGAAAAAGCACTGGACAACATACGGAGCAACAATATGCGGTAAATAATTTACAAATTATTTATCATTTATATTCAGACTGTATTATATATATGTATACCTCATTTATATTAGACTTATATATATCATTTATATCCAGATATTATATATTGGTTGTTCTTTTTTCATTTTCGCGATAACAATTCTCTCCCTCCCTCCCTCTCTCTCTCTCTCTCTCTCTCTCCCCCTCCCCTTTTCTCTCTTATTCTAAATTATCTAAATTATTAAAATTTTTAATTTTATTTATATTTTTAAATTATATTAGTATAACATAAATTACATTGGTATAACATATATATAAAATATTCTGGATTTTATTTTAATATATTTTTAAAATATCAATAAAAAAATGTTCTCGTATTAATTAATATTTTAATATAGATAGTAATATTTTATAAATTGAGTCACAATGATATATTATTTAGATATTTTATGCATAAAAAATTAGAATTTTTTTTATAAGTTTATATTCAAAAAAGAATTTAATAATTATTTACATTAACGGAAAACAAAGAGAAAAATTAATCAGTATTCTCACCCCTACAACATATGTAAAGGTCAAGATCATCGGCGAGATTAATGTAAATAATTATCAATAATTGTATACATATAATATATGTGTGTGTGAGGTAGAAATTAAAGAATGTTAAATTATGATCAGAATGGTAAATTACCTGTGCTGCTAAAATTTCACCAACAGCGCAATACAAGCACATATGACCGAACGTATTGGTAATGACAGATAAAAAATATGCCAAGTAAGAGATTGATAAATGATGTCCATCTGCAAGCATCTAGTCATTCCATGATATAATATATGTATATATATGTAATTCAATAATCATATGAGATGATCAGTGCAATTCTTGTAAAAATAAATTTTTTACGTATATTAAAATTGCATAATGCAAGTAAATTATATAACAAAATTTAAAAAAATTTTTTTGCTTACACTCATTAATACAAATCCATAGCAACCAAAGAGAGTACCAAAGTACAGAAATAATATGAGCAATATTATATTAAATGTATCTTCTACAACGGCGATGGTTCTATAAAGTAATAAATGCGTATATCCTATATATATATATATATATATATATATATATATATATATATATATGTATATATATATATATATTATATTATATAATTAATATATATATATATATATATATATATATATATTAATTTATATTAGAGAGTAAACATACTAAAATTATATATAAATGTTAATATTATGCAATTATATTTTCATAGCAGACACACCGACTTTTCTTTTATTACGATATTTTTGTTTTTAAAAGAGGAAGAGATATTTTGTAATTACATTTGTGTATCAAGCAAAAGGTTTCTACTATTAAATTTTATTAAAGTAAAAACAAATATATAATTATGTGTGTCACTCGATTAAATATTAATTATGTATGGCTCGTTTTATGATTTATTTATATTAATTTGTATTGTGCTAATTATAATTATTTTTCTAAACAAGATTTGTTTTTATGTTATATATATATTATATTTGAACGTCTACATATCTTTCTCCATAAGAGGATGTAATATGTGAAGAAAATATACCTAAGTAGCCGCGTATGATCCATCACGCAACTTTTTAAAATGTCATTATAATTCGCGATATCATTCAGACGCATAAGACGATTGCTCAGAATATCCAATTGACCAGAAATATGGAATATTAGGAGGCTGAGGAAATTATCTATGCCTGTGTAAGGCATGATGCATAGAAACATGGCGATGGCTTGAAAAATGAATGTTATCTCGTATTGCGGGCTTTTGGTTACGTCGTAAATATAATATGTCTGTACTGGTAACGGTCTTCCTGGATCGGTAATATTCGTCAAATACCTCACCGAATAGCCAAGCATTGGTAAAATAACCGTAACGATCCAACCTGATATCATAAAGGTGTATCCGAATGTGATAATCATGCGCGCGGTTTGCGCTTTTGCGATCATCGTCATCTTCTCTTGCGGTTTTCTTGCTTTCATCCAGTCGTTCGCGATCATATCTATTACCGGTGCGACAGCTTTAAAAACATCAAAACGAAAAAACTAATAAAAATAAGAAAAATATAAATTTTTTTTTATCTAACAAAATAAATTGTATTAGATTTCAAAACGATTCATATAAATTAAATTTCTCAGAGTTGAAAAAAATTAGATATCAAGGAAACATGGCTTACAAAATGTTCCATAATATTGTTATGTAAAATAGAAGTCATTCTAAGAATGGTTTTAGCACTTAATTTTTAAGAATATAAAAAAAGATTTGCACATGCATACACACACACATACATTGTATAGATACATTACATAAAATATTTTATGTTATTAAATGAACAAACTTGTTGTTGCATCTACCCTCTTTCTTCCACCAAAAAATCCCGATTCTTAGCAAGCAGGTAGTCATCGGTAGAGAGAATTGCAGATTATCTATCACCAGCATGATGTCGGAATGATTCCTTATCAGAGAATGTAGAGCAGGAATCACAATAACCGATAATACCACCAAGAAAACGAGAAGCGTGCGTAAATTGCACATGTATCTCTTCCATGTAGTTTGTATACAGTCAGGCCAAAGCCCGATTAATTCTAGACTAAATCGATTCAGTCTCACTGCCCATTCGAAATCTATCTGTTATAAAAGTTTCAAAAAATTAAAAATAAAAACAGATAATCGTATTAATTAATTTATTGATTGAAGTGTATTATACATAATGCATATTAAATATAATAAAAATTAAATAAAAATAAGTTATTTATTCATGTAAACTTTTTTTTAAACTTCTTTTAAACTTCTTCCTCAAAAATAGAATATCTCATTTTATTTTATTATGATTCTAAATTATTTGTAATTACTTGTAAATAAAATCATATATTATAAATAAAAATCCATTTTGACAAAAAAATTGATTGACACACAAAAAATTGATATACAATCACTCATTTGAGAAAGGTGATGATAAAAAAATTGAAGTATTTTATGCTACATATATGTGATTAAAATATCTTATTTTTTATTCGATAAAGTGTAACTCTTTTCTAATCTTAATTTGATAATCAATTATAAGAAAATCAATTATAATAAAATCAATTATGATAATAAAATCAATTATGATATTTTCAATGAGAAGCACCTTATCTTGATGTGCAGAATAGCTCGAAGCTTGCATATCGAATGCAATCCACAGACTGACGTTTATCTCCCTATTATAAAACGACGTTGACGTCTATCCAACAAAAAACTGTGTATATGTGTATATGTGTATAAAAAAAAACCTTTGAAAGTGTGAGAGGATCAATGTGCATAAAGGTGGATTTTAGAAGTACTAAGCACCCTTTGTTGGACCAAGTTTCTCCCAGGTAACAATGTTGGAAGTATTCATGAATAAAAAATAATGTAATAACTGGTTTTAAGTA